AGAATATTTTCCCTTGAAATTCTCAGGACTCCTCGGTAAAATCGCGAGCAAAATTATCTGAAAACTTCAAAGAAAAATACTCATAAGTTTACCAGGAAATTCGTATTTTATCAAAGGAAATTTGGCAACGCCTGAGGGTTCATAAGGCGTTCTTCCTTAGTAAGGCAGTACTGAGGTCATTCGCAGTTCGCGTACTCACTTCTTGTTTTAGTTATGTGGGAAACTACTGCGCATCAAGGCGGTTTTGCGAAGGGGACCAGACCCTTGCCGCAGAGCGGGTGCGGGAGGTAAACTTAAAACGCAATTGCGAAATTTAATTGGAGCTCCCCACTCACCTCTGGAACAACGTACTGACTGTAGAAATTGCGGTGTATGGGAGACCCCTAAAGACGGTTTTGCAGAGGAGCGAACTGCGGATAAAAACAGTTGCTTGCTCCTGATTAAACGAAAAATGTGAACTTCCGCTTAGTGACATTAAGGTTTATAATTGCGCGGTTTCTAAGAGAAGAACACCCGCACTTGATGTCCTTCGGTTTCTCGAAATCCATGTTGAATAGTGTAATGTTTAAAATTTTCGAGATGGTTAGGTCAATGCTAGAATAAATAAAATTATGGCAAGTAAATCAATTGCTAAGTTTAGTTTACATCCACAATTGAAACATAGATTCCGTCGTAAACCCTCATGTGCTTTTCCAGAAAATTCTATGGACAGGAGTATTTGAGCAACTATACCTGCATCACGGCACGCACTGGTTGCATTCGTTCCAATCTGAAGGGGCTCCTCAATCAAGTGAACATGTTTATTACTCTGAGCTACATCACAAATGAAACTTAAAGGTATAGGAATATGCAAGTATGAGTTTTTAGGATAGTGCCATTCCACCATTCAAGTTGAAAGTAGAAGCATTGGCGGATTGTCTTTGACATACATTAAAGCGATCCTATTTGTTACGCATTTTGCGGCTATAAAAGCAAGGCCAATCTTGATTTTTCTTGAAAAATTTCTTAAATTCCTAAAGCGTTCCCCCCTCATTCTTGTCGAAATAGACTTTCCCGGAGAGAAGTTACTCTCTCGAGAAAAACCCTCCACCCATGATCAAAAGGCGGAAAGTGCATTTATTTAATTATTTAATTTATTTATTCATTCATTTTTTTTAAAAAAAAAGTGCAGATATTTTAGGGCTGCACCCTTACCCAAGAGAGTGTGGCCCGCTAAATGCGGAGTTTTTTCTTTTATTCTTCCATTCATCAAAAAATACTGACATCGTCACTTGATTCTGTTATTTTTATTTCTTTACATGAAATTTTAATAGCCTGAATATCTAAAGGGTGTTTTTCCTCACTCCAACCTTTACTTTTACCACAACTATTTTGATAAAATGTTCACCAAAAAAGGTAGGGGGAGGGGGGTATTATTTGTATGGTGAGCTGTCCTCACTCAAATTTAACTTGACCCATCTCTCACCTCCTCTCTTGTCTAGGAACCGCACAGCCCCGGGTCTGCTCCTGCAACCTTGCACCCGATCAAAACTCCTGTAATCCTGTATGATAAATTGATGAAGAGCGTAGATAGACGGATTACTGACCTGGAAAACAGTGTTGAAAAAGAGGAGGAGAGAAATCAAAATCATTTTCGAATTACACGAGGAACAAGATATCCAAGTACGGGTAAGGGAAGGGCGGGGAGGGGGGTGAGTAGTGGGTGTCCTGAAGTCCTGACCTATTTCATTAAGCTCTGTTTGTTCGGTGGAGGTTGATAAGGATCGTGAAACTGCATATTATTTTAACTACCCAGATTCCTCTAATTGAATAATTACTCGGTTTCCCTGTTAAATCAGAATTGACTTCCTTTATTTTTTGTAATTCGAGATTATCCGAGCCGAGTCGGCATGTCAATCCTATTGCGTCCCTCTATAAACTAAAAGCTTACGTTTGAGACTAAAACTTCTCGGTGTTACGATGCACCTTTTCAGACCTTTGAAACTAAAGGCGAAAATATCTACTAATAACAACTATTCGGTCGTGTTTGAGAAAAGGACAGTGTGTGGGGAATGATCGCGTAAAGAAAATCATAATCCCAAACACTTCAAAAAACGAATTACATCTGCAATTAAAAAATCTGCCCTGCAGGTATCGTACGCCATTTAGAGCGCTTGAGAGTCCTCTAAAAATATTCTGGTTTTTTGTTTGGTTTTTTTTTCTCAAAATGATCATGGATTTGAACTTTTTTGAGCAAAATTAACCTTGCCTTTCCTCAAATTTCAAACATAAACACCTCAACCCGCGTTGATGCCAGCGCAACGATACAACTATTTGTACTTGATGGATATCTATATTGCATATCAAGAATTGGGGGCGCAATGGCGTGAGGTGAGAATTCGTAATGCTTTGATCTATTATTCGGGAGAAAAGTTAGAAAACAAGGCCGGACCACGTCTTTCAGCTGTTCCTCATAAAGTCCCTGAAGTGACACTACCAATAAGATAAATAGAAACAAATACAATATGTCGCTCCATTGCGGAGGCAAGCTAAAAAACGAGGCCGGCTAACGTCTTTCCTATCTCATGGGCTGTGTTGCCCCCGTAACCTTTGAAGCACCACCACCAGTAATACAACTGAAAACCAACGCAATACGGATACAGAACGAGGAAAATGACTCGCGCTGATACGGCGCAGAGATACAACTATTCGTACTTGATGGATGTCCGTGTTGCATACGCAAAATTAAAGGCGCGATGGCGCGAGACGGGAACTCGCAGAGTGCTCTGCTCCATGCTGTTTGTGGCGTGTCGCTCCAATTCGGGAAAAAAGTTAAAAAACGAGGCCGGATAACGTCTTTCCCATCTCATGGGCTGTGTTGTCCACGTAACCTTTGAAGCACCGCTACCAATAATACACATGAAAACCAACGCAATACGGATACAAAACGAGGGAAATGACTCGCGCTGATACGGCGCAGAGATACAACTATTCGTACTTGATGGATGTCCGTGTTGCGTGCGCAAAATTGAAGGCGCGATGGCGCGAGACGTGAACTCGCAAAGTGCTCTGCTCCATGCTGTTTGTGACGTAGCGCTCAAATTGAGGAACAAAGTAAATAAAAAAACGAGGCCGGATAACGTCGTTCCCAGTCATGGGCTGCAGTGTAGCCCACGTGACCATTGAAGCACCACTACCAATAATACAAATGGAAACCAACGCAATACGGATATAGAATGAGGAAAAGGACTCGTGCTGATACGGCGCAGAGATACAACTATTCATACTCGATGGATGTCCGTGTTGCGTGCGCAAAATTGACGGCGCGACGGCGCGGCGCGAGACGTGAACTAAAATTCTTCGCTCAATGCTGGTCGTGTGGTATCGCTACAATTCGGGGGAAAAGTTGAAACACGAGGCCGGAAAACGTTTTACCTATCTTCAGCTGTGTTGGCACTTGATTTTTTTCTTTCCTTTTTTCAATTTGATGACTGAGCCTTTTTTTTAATGATGTATTTGTAGACTTATAGGTGAAGCTCATACCTAAAGGCCCCATATACAACCCACAAGCCACGTTTTTCTGGGAAGTCTCGGATCAATTTGACCAGTCTTGGACATCTAAGGGTTAATGTCAAAACTCAGTTGGTCAAGATTGCTCAAAGTAAATGGGCAGGAGTTATATATTCATGGCTCATGACAATCAATTAAATAAAAGGAGAAACTTTTGTTACCGGTGTTGCGTACTTGGGACGTGCGTATTTAAAGGCGACTGATCATTCGGAAACCTCTCAGAAGAAAATTTTGTCGCTAATAATACTTTTTTAGGTACCGGTTTTTCTTTTCATCCATTCGAATTTTAGCAAGTACAGTCATTGGTCGTAAGTTTTCTCATGACATCCAGTAATCCACATTATTTACAACGTACAATTTTCCAAATATCTCTGGGAACGATTGAACTTTCTAGGAGTCAAATTAGAGCACACATTCCATCTATTTTGAGTCTTTGTTCAGACAAAGTCGGCATAAAATATATTTGAAACAGTATAATCATTCTCAAACCACGTATCTCTGAATTTAGTGTTGACCCTCAAGTTCCAAGAACACGTATCTCGGTGTTGATGATACTTCCCGTGACGGATGAGAATATCATTCTAAAAGCTGATGGAGTCTTAAAAAGCACTCCAGACATTTTTTTAACTTTCCTGGAAAATCGGATATTCCGAGATACGTAGTTACGGACCGTAACTACGTATCTCGGATACGGACTTTCGCCGTTGTAATAATGTCGTAAAAGAGTCTAATTCGATGGTGAAACTACCAAACCACGTATCTATCTCGGCTTGCGACATTGGGGACTTCTGTCATACCTACTCCATTTTTTAAGTGAAGAACTATACTCAACCTCGATTCTTAATAATTTCCATGAATTTTCTTTTTCGGGATTACTTGAAACTCTGAAAATATCTTAAGGAATGATGTTAACATGTTCTGGAGATTTTTAAACACTACAAACGAGATACGTGGTTTGGGAGTTTCATCGTCCAATTCTCAATTCCTTTTCCTTTTCCCTCGTACAATTTCCCGTTTCTTAAGCATCCCCCAGCTTAGACTGTTTACGAGTTTTTGCTCGGATATATCTGCTTAACCCTCGAGGCACCTACACGACCTTTCGCGATGCTCGAGCAATTAGATTAGGAGCGAGCTCACGGGCGGAATTAAGAATGAATGAAATTAATCGGCAGGTATTAGTAAACTCCGCGGCTGGGACGGTGCTGGTGTGGCACCCTCCGATTACGGCGGCAATAAAATAGGAAAGTGTGTCGCAAGAGCATGGGTATGTGCGAGACAGGACAGGAGCAGACCAAAGAAACCCGTGAGCGTTTGAATTTTGGCGCGAAGGATCTCCCCTACCCTGACGGTGCGGTGGGGCAGGAAGTTGAGAAAACGGGCGGGGTGGGCAGCGCGGGGTCTGGACGGCGAGTGCTGGCTCGTTCGGTTCGGTTCGGGGTTCGTCAGTTTGTCTTCGTCCGAGATCGGTTGCTGTGCGAGCGCCGCCCCACGCCTCGTGCTTCGATTTTTCGAGAGATCTCCTCAGTTGTTTTCTCACCGGCGATCGTGACTCACGTGGTGTGTGCAGAGCCTTTCGTCGTACGTTTAGCCAATGCTTTTTAAGTAAAAGTTTTAGGTCGATATTATTTTTAAATCTTTTTTACGCTGTGCAGTGTGATATTTGTTTTTAAAAATCATTTTATGTTTCAATAACTTGTTTTCCTTTCTTTAAGTTTTAAGCGCATTTAACCTAACCGGTCGGTGTTTTTAAGAATTCCTCGTTTTCGTCCCGCGAGTATTTAGTTCAATTTATCAGTGATGCCGGCGAGTTTGTACCCCGAAATGGACTCCAGCGTGGATAGTAGAGCTTTACAAGTGGCGTTCGAACTATCTCTCATGAGCATGAAGGACACAAGTGCCATCACACCAACGAATATTTCGGATTTGGAACCTACCCTCACTTCTCAACTGCAGAACCTTATCTCAGCGCCGGAAGAAACCCGAAACAAAAAGAGCCAAAATATGACTGAATGTGTTCCTGTACCCAGTTCCGAGCATGTTGCCGAAATTGTCGGAAGACAAGGTATGTGCCACAATAAATGAAATACTTATTCTTCCTCTCTGAATTCTCATGATCCGAATTCCTCGCGAAAGTGTGTTTCTGTCATTGGTGTGATGACGCCTGTTTTCTATTTATTATTTTCATTCCCGCCATGCTTCATCATTCGAGTAACATGTGTAGATTAGGCCAAACCGAACATGTGTTGCACTACAACCTGCTTCGATATCATTTTAGTTTCCTCCACTGTGTAGTGTTACTTTTAGAATTAGATGTCATGAACTCCGCGGTTCTCAGATCCTCCGCAGCCTCTGTGGTTATTTTAAAACCTCATCTGTCTCCCTCTTCACCGCTTGGTTTTCTAAAATGTCATACGGTAAATAGTGATGAGAAACTGTAGCCATGCACTGCGCCTTTTTCTGCTCGTGTTCATGTCGTTCTGTAGGTTAACGTAGCTCTAACCGTGACCCTTCCTCTGATTTCCTCAGCAGATTTTTCCCTTGTAGTGAAGTGGATGATGAGGATTGGTGTCTGCATATCACGAGGAATAATTCTCTGCACCATTTTATTTTTCGCATCCGATGTTATCGAATGTATTTCCTTTCGTTAGATTCAAACCCTGCCTTTGGCTGAAATCAGTACCAACGAAATTGTTAATTTACGACTCTCTTTTCGCTTCCAACGTGAAGTAAAAGAAAATGCACAGATTTTAATATCCTCGATACTTCATGTAAGCACAACACTTTTTTAATCTAGTATCCGAGGGTGTTATTAGGACTCCATTTTTTGTGAAATGATTGAAATTATCTTGACATTCATTGCATTTTACCTAAAATAAGGTGATTTACCTTAATTCTGTCTGTAGGATTTATCTATAGTTTCGCGATTTGCTATTTTTGTTCCTCTTTCAATCCCATGTCCACAGTCATTTATCTGAATCAATACAGTAAACCGTAATTCGCTTCAATTTTCTTCACACAACAAAGATCAATGAGACGAATCAATAATGTGAATTTAAATGCTGATTTTCATTTGCCCAAGGCAGGGTGGTAGGGTGGTTGGCATGAATGACCTGAGCTCATGTACCCAGAACATTAGCACATGACTTTTTTGGGTTCTTGGGTTCCTCCATGAAGTTTCTATACTGAGTTCGTGTTTTCGTGATCTGCCGAAAGCTCCACAATGTTTCGTAGTTTTCTATCGAATCAGGAATTGTTACACTTCTTGGAGACGTTACGTTGTTATAGCGGACAAGTAAGAGGTTTTCGAGTGTAGCCATCGAAGTTAAGAAACTACAATCCTGTCAACGGATCAAAGGGACCAATTTTTTTTTACGGTCAACAGTAGATTAAAACGACTATGTTCTAACCCAGTTTTACGGTGACTAAAATGGCATAAAGTCTCACTAATAGGTAAATTATTTTAACAACTCAGGTACCTACATTTTGCACTAAGGAAGTACCATTTCGGACTCATCATCTAAAGCTCTTACTTATCTGCTTAAGGAAACGACAACCCATGGGTCTGCTTTTTGCAATTCAGGCATATTTCTAGCTCAGACGTAAAGACATCTATCTGCTCAGCGAAACAAATTGTACATACAAGATTATCCATGAGTCCCACATCAGTAACTTCCAAAGACGTCGAGATACTGACTTGGAGCGCGAGACTTTCGGATCGCCCTGTATGTTGTTTCAAAAATGAGCCCTAAATAGCAGCTCCTAATTGCAAAATATAGTCCAAATGCTCCGAAATTAAGCCAAAAATGTTGTCCAACCTATCAATCAGGTTGTGGAAGAATATGTCCATTTTCCGGGGAGTTTCCCAGCCATCGGATCTTAAAAATGCCGGATGCCTCTGGACCGAGCGATTAATATGAGTTGAAGTGAGTGATGATTACACAACAACCGATTCTCTATCGGAGGTTGAACATGAGCAATCCGCAAATCCGTCAAGAGCTCGATTTCCGTCCGACTTGACCAATTTGTCTCTCAATTTGTCAAAGTTGTAATCTTGTTTCGGTCCTCCGCCACTGGCCGCCTCCTCCTCCTCCTCCTCGTCTGCCGATAATCTCCTTAGCGTCGTTGTGGTGTATCTTGTCTTATCTTATCACGATGTCCTGTGAGGTCAACCGACACACGTTACAGTGCGATAGTCGACTCTGCTTTCCTCGGTCAGTCTCCAAGGCTGTGGAAACTTGGGGACCTCTACCGGGTCCGAGCTAGAGGAGCTAGGATGCCGTATAAGCCACCAGACGTTGCCAAATTTCCTTTGATTAATCACGAAGTTTCAGGAAAATTTGTGAATGTTTTTCTTTCGATGTTTCAGAAGATTTTGTTTGTGATTTGATCTCAAAATGCCGAAAATTTCAAGGCAGAATAATTATTCTGAACTTTCCTAAAGAATCGGCCAAATTGGTTTTTTTTTGTTTTGAGTGGGAAAAATCACGTTTTTTCGCCAAAATCGCGGCAATTTTTTTGCGTAGAGCCATTGAAGAGTTATTTCTTGAGATTTCTGAGAAAAAATGGGTTTTAAAAGTAAGATGGGAAGGCTAATTGTAAGTATGAACTTTTTGCATCCCTGAGCCAAAATTCCAAATCTGGTAAGCACCACCAGGTGTTGTAATGTTTGCGCTAGTTGTTCCTCACTGTGAAGAAACTTCAATTCCCTCCCTCCCTTCATGGAATTTCAATCGAGAAAATCGTCTGAATATCGTGACATTTTTAAATGCCTCACCTTTTCTGTGTCACCTGGTCACATTTGCCGTCCTCACACCCGGCTGTGAATGATTTTTCGTGATTTTCCTGTGCTTAACTGTTCTTTGCGAAGAATCTGGTAGTCATTTTTCTCCCGTAGTGTGCACTTACCAGACTCTGACTTTTGCATACTTGTATCGTATTTTTTACGTCGAATCGTCAAAATTGATCGGTACCTATCTTTTAATTACACAATCCAGATGTGATTCTTTCCCCCATTTTGTGATGGACCGTGTTATTTCACCTACATTCTCTAACACAGTGCATTTCTGCAGCCTGCAGCTCTGCCGACGAAGACGAATTACCGTCCGTGCACAATGTTGCAACGCTGCACATAGAGAGCCGGCGCCGGCAACGCTGCATTTCTCCTCTTTCGCTCCGCATTATTTGCCCCCTTTCCACGGAAACCTTTTCGTGGGTCTCCACCGATATTCTGTTGATATTCGCATGACTAGATGCTTGATATTTTTCATCTGCTCCTGGCTCTTTCGCTTCATTCTTGACGTTCTCAGAATTCCGAAAGGTACCACAATAGCTTAGTCCATGGTACAGTCTTCGTCTCGGAGCGGTATTTTTTTGTGTCTATTCCAGCTTTGAGCTTTTCCGAAACATATCTAGGCAATGTTAAACACGAGTTAAATATCCTGTGAACATATTTTTTTTATTTTATATGCGCCGAGGACCAAAATTCTCCAGTCGTTCAAATTGTGAGAAAACTACCTAGTACTTACTGACTTTCTTCCAGTATGAAATTTTTACGTATATACCTGTTCACAATTCTTAATAGTGACTGATCATCAGAGCATCGGACATTCCTGGCAATCTCACTGTGTATGCGGTAATGTCTGTTATGATTTGCACGAATTTTCTCTATTTTTGTTCATCTAACTACACAAAACTTAGGTAAAAGCTACTAAAATTACTCGAGTGTCCGGGGCCAGTAACATTTGCCTGAACTGATATTTTTATCAGAGTTTTTTGAGCGAGTATGGCTACGCCGTCGGTGCACTGCGCCCAACTCATTGTCGGGATCATACTTTTTAATCAATAAATCTTGCGGCTGTCCCTAATGCATCAAACTCGTCCTCCGCGAGGGTCTTTGCTGCCCTGCTGTTGCCTAATGTCCTCCGATAGAACATGTATTTTGAATAAATGTTACTGATATTTTGCTTTGAGATTTTAAGAGAAACCAGAAGTTATATGCATAGGTAGTTGTTTCTATTATCAGCTTCATTTCTTAGGATACCCTCACATGGTTAAACTGTGATTTAGTAGGTCTCTCAAATAGTATCATTTAAAGGACAATTGTTTACGAGTCTCGAAGAAAATTCAACAAAATAATTTTGGAAAAAGGGATCTGCCAGGGACTACGATGTTTATCCTCTACAAAAACAGCCACAAAACTTAAAATTTCTATGACTTTGATCAATTTTGAGGCAAGATAGGCGCGGTCCTACCTTGTAATTTTTCAAAGCTCATTTTACATTTCTTGCAATTCATTTTAATACTTTCCAAGGGTCTGTTTCCATATTCGAACGGTTGAATTCCAACCCAGGCTCGTAAAATTTGTCCTTTTGATGATACTACTGCAAAGGCCTCCCTTGGTCATGGTGTAAACCATACAGGATGATGAATACACTCTAGGTGAAGTTACGAACAAAATTATCTGAAAAATTGGAGGGAAAATATTCACAAATTTTCCAGATAATTCGTGATTTACCATAGGAAATTTGGCAAAGCCTAAAGGATCATACGGCGATTTTCTTTAGTACGGCAGTGCAGATGATGCAGGGAAAATGACGTTTGACGAAGAGAAATAGGGCAACATCGGGAGTGCTGATACGGGGTTTTTTGCCGAGGACGGGGTGGATTCGGGTGCGTCGCATGCACTTGGTTATTTTCGTGACCTGATTTTTACCCCATCCGGTGCCCGCGCTGCCGGTGAGCCCGCGTGCGTGCGAGGGAGAGCCGCCCGAGGGTGCACGGAGCGAAACAAAAGGGGGAGCGAGAGGGGGTGAAGGAGAGAGAGAGAGAGGACGAGCGCCAGACGGAGAGGCAGGGCGAATGCATCGCCGCGCTCCGATCCGGGGTTAGGGAACTCGGCCTCTGAATGGGAGTATTGATTGCCGAGGAGCTTGGAGCTTGCAAGCGCCAAAGCTCCTCGGATTTTGTACGTTTTCCGACTCGAGTCGAGGAACGGGGAGCGGAGCTTTTTCCTCGGGTCCTCGTTTCCCGGGCTTGTAGCACCCTCCACTCCGCATCGGGGGT